CCCGCCAGCCGGGGCCTGCACAGCCGGCCTGCAGCTCCTGCTGCTCAGGGGGGCTGCTGTCGACTTCGCACCAGGGGGCAAGACTGCCCTGCACGAGGCTTGCGCAGCAGCCAGTGCACCCTGCGTGCGCTTGCTGCTCCGCTTCGGTGCTGACCCCGAGGCTGTCTCTGAGGATGGCTACAAGCCCCTGCATCTCTGCAAGAGCCCAGACTCTGTCGAGTGAGTTCTACCCAGGGAGCATAGTGGGACTCCCTCCTCCTTGAGCCTTGCTTGGGGTCCCTACTAACCCCTGCAGGTGGGCTGGTGGGTGCAGCGGTAGCTGCTGAACGGGGTGGCCTTACTGCCTGTTCCTGGACCAGGACCACCTCTGAAGTCCAACAGATGACTGCAAGCTCCATCCTCAGCTGATGCAGCTGAGCTTGGTGCCCACCAGCAATGCAGAGCCAATGGTTTGCGCTGCGAAGCTCAGGACATGGGCTCTGCAGACCGGTCTCTGTGGGCGTGGGGGAGCAGACTCTGGGTGCGACGATGCTTACAAAAGATCTGTGGAGGGTTACCTAGAGCTAGGATGGCAGTCTCTCTGCTTGACAGTTATCCTGGCTTAAAACTACTACTGAGGGCATGAGGGGCAGGGATTTTTGGACTCTTGGGAAAAGTGAAAACAATGGGATGGTACAGGGGTGGGGGGTGGGATAGGAGCTGGAGAGGCGAACTGTCACTGAGTCATCTTGGCCCATGTAGGTGTGCCCAGCAACTGCTGCAGCATGGTGCCAGTGTGAACAGTCGGACCGAGGAGGAAGATGACACAGCCCTGCACATAGCAGCGCGGCATGGCCTAGCAGACCACGTCCAGCTGCTTCTGCGCTATGGGGCAGAGCTGGAGGCAAAGAACGAGGAGGGGCAGACACCACTGAATGCTGCCTGTGCTCAGCCCCATAAGCCCGAGGACATGGACCGCTACTACCAGGTCTGCCAGCTGCTGGTGGAGCGTGGTGCTAGTGTCCATGCTGCAGACCGGGACCGCCAGCACCCGCTTCACCTGGCTTGCAAGAATGCCAATGCTCAAGTTGCAGAATTACTGCTGGCCCGGGGTGCAAATGTCAACGTCATGAACTACAGCGGCAACACGGCGCTGCACAATATCCTGCAAGCCACGGCCTACAAGCTAGAGCACCACCCAGAGCTGGTGGTGCGAGCCCTGCTCAACCACGGCGCCATCCGCATCTGGCCTGGCTCCCTCCTCAAGGTGCGGGGCTCGCAGCTGGGCCAGCAGCTTGGTGGGGAGGGCAGGCTGTGAATGCCGTTGCCCCAGGGAGTGCAGGGATGCTTCAGTGGCAGCAGGGCTTGTCCTGTGCCAGGCTGCCTCTCTCTTCCCAGGGGCTGGGGGAAGGGAACTGGCATTCCCTGAAGTTTCTCCTGGGGCATGTTCTCCTGTAGGACTTTCCTGCTTCTGTCTGCTCGGCTGTGTGGACAGTGCTTACCCTGCTTCCATAATCACTTGCCCAAGAAAGCACTGGCCCTTTTTCCCTCGGGCGATGTATTGCCTCTTTGGGGCGTACCTTCCGGCTCATGCTGTCTCTGCCAGACACCAGCAAACAAAGGGTTAATTTCCTGTCTTAATTCCTGAGCAGTGCAATAATTACCCAGCCCGGAGATCAGCAGATTGCTCTCCCCTTTGGGAAAATACAGGAAAATCAACAATTAACACTAATTAATCTCCTATTAACGCCAGATAATGAGGATCACTCGTACAGCCGGAATAGACTCTGACAGCTTACTGCTGGCCTGGGCCGTGGGGAGTGGGAGCCAACAGCCGGGCTGGGGGGCGGGGGGCGCCTCTGCCTCTGTGCAGCCACGCAGGGGTGGGGAGTCCTCCAGGGCCACGCTGCTGGTGTGCGAGACACGGCACCAGGGTGTCGCTGGTGCCTACGTGTGGTGTTACACCACGGGCACAGCGTGCGCCAGGGATTCTGTCACACAGAATATGTATGGTGGCTTCCTGGGGCTCTGCGCCGCAGCCGACGTGTGCCGGTCAGGACACCCACTGCACGCAGCACGGATATGGGCTGCCTCCTCAGCCCCTTGCTGAACAGGCACAGTGCATCCCCGAGACCCCTGCGCGGCCCTCAGCTGAGGCGTGGTGTGCCTTAAAAACGGGGGTCAGTCCTGGCCTCGGCATGCTTCATGCTCTGACTAGGAAAGCGTCAGGAAAGGAGCCTGGCATGGAGCAGCGCTGGTTGCTTGTGTGCTACTTGAGGCAGTGAGGCAGAGGACAGAGATCTGCGTCCCAGCTCTGCACATCAGCCCCTGCATCTGCGGAGAGGCTGTGGGGACTGTGTTGTGCTGGAGGCAGCTGTGCTGTGCATCTGGGATGCTTCCCAGTCACTTTTTGCAGGAGCGGTGCCCTGGCATTTCCCACTGCCAGGGGCTTTATCTCCTGGGACAGCATCCGGGAAGGACGTTGGGTCCCTCGATTTACCAAGGCTGGTTTTGAGCACGTGCAGCTTTTTAGAGCTGAAGGTGGGGCTTTCGGGACCCTGACCAAAGGCTGTGTTCACCCACTGTCTCCCGGGCGCAGGCGCTGCGGTACTGCCATAC